CAATCCTACTTTGTACAATAGCTTTGGAATTTCAGGTTGTATCATACATGCAATCTGTACAAAGGGGTGCTCAGGTGGGGTGAGGGCAGGGGCAGGCTGGGGAAGGGTTACAGACAGTGATGTAGCTTTGAAGAAGGCGATGTAATCAGGCAGACAGTCTGTGGGAAGGGAAAGCAATAGTGAAAAAACCCACCCACAAGAAGATACTTGTCCTTGACTGCCGGACAAGCATGTTTTGTACCATGGGGGAATCCCCTGGGGTGCTACAGGTCTGTGTTTTATGTCTTCCACACTGCTGGTGGGCTTGTCAGATAGTCCAAAGCTACGACAGGTCTTGTTCGGGCAGGTTTTGTCCTGGGAGTGACAGAAAGTGATGCCATAAGAAACAGATTGAGTGTGTCTCCACTGAGATTAGGAGCATAAGGCTGAGCTGCAGTTAGTCAGGGATAGGCAGGCAATGGGGCAAGCAGGTCTGGAGGAGTGCACACCAGTGGGAAACAGGGTTTTAGTAGGGACAATTTCACCACATACTGGAGGATTTTGAAGGTTTTGGGAGCCTGCCTTGGAAAGGCTCAGGCCTCTTGTGATTTCCAAGTGGTAGCAGCGGATGGCAAGTGCATGTTGGGAAGGAACTGTGACAAGATGGTGCCTTCCCTCAAAAACATGGGTGATACTTGGCTTGCTTGCTAGCCTATGTCCGTAGTGGACTTGCCTTCAGGATTTTTGGTGAAGTGGAATGAATGGTGAGAAATAAATAAATACTAATAAATAAGAAGAAGAAACTTGGAAAAGAAAGGAAAATGAGGAAAGCATCTCCTCACAATTCCCCGTGCTCCACTTCCATGCAGGGCTGTGCAAGATCTCCCTTGGTCCACAGAACATTTGTAAGAAAAGCAATGTCTACAGAGACAGAGGAAGAAAACAAGTCACATGGAGAAGACTCTTGTGACTGTTGTGCTTCAGGAGCTTTCTCTATCTGGATGTTATTCACATAACAGCAGTATTTTGCCTGTAGATGACTTGGTGGGACTTGTCCATTTTCATTATGTGCTCACGAACAGGAAGAGCAGAGATGTTCCCTTGGGGTCAAACCCATTACATACCAGTCAGTAAAGTGGATTCAAATATTTATTCTTAAACAATAGGTCCACTCTCTGCTCCTTTTGATACACTTGTAAGTGTGGCGTTATGGAAAGGGTGCCTCCTGTTTTATATCAGTTTAAGTGAGAGCAAAATTGAGCCTATACACAGTTTTCCATCTTAAAGTCTCTAAAAACATGGGAATTAGGCATCTGGAGAGGGATCCAGCTCATAGATTAAGACATACAATTGTAGTTGTCCACAAGCATGTATCTCCATGTGAGTTAGACATCTAAATACCCATATCTGATGGAGAGCTAGTCAGCACAGTCAGTGGAGTCCAGAGAGTGGTTCAGCTTGCCCTACAGTAGCCACTTACATTTGGCCAGCTGAATTGTTCTCTAGCCTCCACTGCTTATTGACTAGGAGCTCAGCTGAATTGCTCATGCACAGGCATCTAGTGCCACCTGAGATGCTCTGGAATTTCTGAACCATCTACATGGATCTGGCAGATATGTCATGGGACTTAAGAGAAGCCCCTGCTCTTCCAGAGTAGCTTCTAGAAACCAGTGGGGTACCCTGGAGCATCCCAAATGGCTCTAGACACTTATCTTCAATAATTCAGTTCATCCCCAGATGCTATGTTGAGGCAAATGAAGCTCATCATTGGGCTTATATGAGCGTTTTAGCACCTAGCTCACATGTAGATATCTGCATTTAAGCGTCTCCTGTTGCATTGTGAATCTCACCCCAGGTACCACTGCCAGGGAGGTAACTACTAGCCTCTCATTTGTGCTTGAGAAAATCTCCCCCTCCAAGGTGGAGATGCACAAAAGACACCTCTGGAAACCGCGTTAGAGTGGGAGCAGAATGACCTGCCCAAGTCCATGAAGACACTGGAAGTGTCAGGAATGAGGACTAAACACTCTTTTCTCAAAATGGAGGCCACAGGTGCCTCTGTTTCCCACCAAATGGAAGTATCTGCACCCCACAGCAGGTAACAGAGAAGTGAGACGGGAGAGTCCTGTCTCCATGCTGAGCAGTGATGAACTGCAGAACAGCAGCTTTTGTTGGAGCATGTAAGAGAAAGCAGGAAACATGAGCATGAGAGAGTTAAGCCACGAAGAAAACAATTCAGCAAATAACAAGCCAGATCCCACTGCTGCTGCCCAGTGAGAGAGGGGAAATCTAGAAAAGAGATTCTCCTGTACTAAGAAGTCCCTACTATAACAGCCAAGATTTAGCTTGGAGGGAGGTAGAAAATAGGAGACGTATAGATATTAAGAAGAGATGGGGTCTCATCCTGCCTCGCCCACCTTCTTGCCCATTGTCTAATGCTCTGTCTACAGCTTCTCAGCTAAAGAGTTGCTTGGGCACACAACTGCCAGATCCGAGCAAACATCCCACTCATTCGCTACACCACTGATGGCAGAGCGTTGCCTTGTCAGCAGCCTCAGCTCTCAGCAGGTCTCTGGAAGAGCCAGGAGTCATTTTCCTATGGGAAACCTATTTAACCAGGTGCAATGGCTGGTGTTTGCAGGGAAGTTTGATTTGGTGCCTTTTCATGGCCATCTTCCCAAAGAAATATCATTAAGGCATCAAGGGGAGTCTGGAGTAATTTCCATAGTGCAGAACCTAGGACTGGATTCACAACTCCTAGCTCCTTCAGAGTGCTCATGCTGTAACCCTGAATATCCCCATGCACATCAAACCTCAGATTTCCAGCACTGGAACCTCTCTTTGAAGCTAAGAAAGTGACCCAAAGCTCATAGTGTTTCTCCTGTATTTGAATTTAAGGATGGGGACATGACAAGCATATGAACACACATGACAAATGTATTATAATCCATGGACATCTCTGTGGCAATATATCTGAATGCACTGAAAACATCAAAAATATTTTAGATTGAGTGGAAGAAGAAATTGCTCTCTGAGCTTTGCTAATACAGAAATTCTGGAATGCTCAGCTAAGACAACAGCACTTCTATCTTCAGGGCTGATGTGGTTGGTGCTGATTCAGAGATTTCTGTACCATATTGAATTTTGTGGTGTGGTTGTCTTTGAAGTCCTCTCTCAGGATTAAATCCTGGCTGCTTTAGTTCTGCACATGGAGCCCCTCATAAGGAGCGGAAACAATTCTGGAGACTTTAAAATGCTTTGGAGAAGACTGTCAGTGCTGAGCATGACACTTAGCCAAAAGAGATACATCAGGGGTCAAGTAATAGAAAATGTCATGCTTGTCCCTCCCCATGTTTGTTTTTTCTCTGAGAAAGAGAAGCCCCCAAATTCTAAAACTAAACCAAAACAAGAAAAAAACTCCTAAACTTTCCATTTCTTTCATAGAAAGAAAAGAGATGAGGCCAAATTCACCCCTCGCAGGTAACTCCACTGTCTTTAATGAGGCTGGATGTGGAACTGATGGGGCCCATCAAACCCATCTGTTCATCTAAAGGAAAGGTTGGATAGCAGCATGTAAGAGGGTGGAATTATGTTCCCTTTTTATTTTTATTTTTTACATCTGTGTTTCTTGGTTGGATGATATCTTCTCGCTTTTCCCTGGTACTTCCAGACATATCCCTGATACAAACCATCTAAGGACAAACCTCATCAGAAGTGAAGACTGAAAGGAAGGGCACCATGGGTCATGGAGGTTGAGTTGGCCAACTCCCATTTGTGGGAAATGAATGATCTTTTCCTTTTGACTATAGACTGGTGCATTTCCCAGCTCAACTGAGGTGGAGGGGAAGTTTTGACAGAAAACTATTTCCAGAAAAGTGCACAATTCAACTGTCTACACACAAGCATCTCATGTCATTTTGGACACCGCACAGTCTCTGACATATCTTCCCAGGTTTAAGACTTGTGGGAGTCCCATGTCATTGAAGCAACGGCTGGATGCCAAGAGGATATTGTAGGGCACCTAAAATGTCACCGGATATTTATATTATTGAGTAAAACCCTAAGTCCCCTCTGTAAGGAAGGCCCTACTGTTTTCACAGAATGGGAGAATCTGAGGCAGAATAAGGCTCTGGGTTGTATTTAGACCATCTCCTAACTGATGCCCAGTGGAGGCGTGGTGATGTATAAGAGGTATGGCACCTCACTCATCACTGACTCAATCTTTCTGACTAGTACAGTGGCAACCCTGACTTGAGACATCTAGTGTAGGCAGTGAAGTGATACCTTAGTTTTCTGAAGACATTTCCTGAATTCATGTGTGTTAGGAAGCGATGGCTCAAGTCTCTTCTCTGAAGTCATGGGGTTAGATGCAGGTCTAGCACTCAGAAGGCTCCCAGACCCCTAGCAGGCTCTCTCTCTTCCCTCCTCATGTGTGGGCAGAGTCAGACCCAGGACTAGGACCCTCAGAGACACTTGAGGTGATTAATAGAATTCACGGAGACGTTTTTTATTGACTTTAGTAGAAGCTGCTAAATCCCTTACATTATATCATCACAGTGGATGACTAATTACTTAATAAACCCAAAGAAGTATGCATAGGCTTTGTTAAAATCCCTGGAATGGGGTGGAAGTCCCTAACCACTGAGATGTGTCAAGTCTGACCCCAGATTTGAATGAAGAACTACACTTCCAGCTCATCTCAGCTGATTGCAACTTAACCTCCTTGACTCCTGGTGGACTTCACATCATCAGACTGTACCCACCTGAGATCTCGTCATCTAGTGTGAGCTCATCAGCTAAAGTCAGAGGAAAGACAGAGGTACACTCAGAAGGCAATTTACCAAACATAGCTTAGATACCATCCTAGGCTATAATGAATCACCTTCTGGACCTGTTTGTATCTTGCCACTGATCCTAGCAGAAAACTAGATAAAGAGCTTAGACTAGATGACATGGCCAGATGAACTAAGTTCCACTGATGCAGTCAAAATCTGTTCACCTTAAGAGGTAATTGCTCAGCAAATGCCTAGTTTGGGTTCGTCCCCCCTCGCCCCCCTCCCCTTCATGCTTTCCCAAAGAGCTTCACCTGCTAGTGATGTTGGGCTTGGTTCTGGTTCAAAAGCAGAAATGGTGGATGTTAGCATGCTGTGGATGGGCTGGGGTCAGAGTCCAGCTCCCGTGCATGGAAGCCAAATCCTTCAACCCATTTCTTCACTGGTATGGTATAGAAGAAGGAGTTTGAAACCACCTTGCTTAAAAATATTAGGGTAAAATTAATCATGGGTGTGACCCTGCTGAAGTCAGTGGATTGACAGGGTCTGTGAGCTGCAATGATTTGCATCTTTGTTGTCAGGGTACCGATGACTGACAGAATTACCTCATGGGAGGTGTCTAACATCTCTTGCTGTGACTGCTAGCACTGCATCGTATTAAGTAGATCAGACATATTGTCCCTTGACCCATCTTTTCCAATTCATCAATGTCTTCCACCACATACGTGGGTTTCTTCAGCGTTTGCTTTCTTGACAGCTTTTATTTGAATATTGGTTCTTGTGGCAATTTCCCCCCACAGTGGCTTCCTTATTTATTTTCCATAATGCTCAGATTTTCCTTTTCTCACAGACTGTATTACAAAAATCAGTCATGCATCCATTAATTGGTCCATCTTTCTCTCAGTTTTTAGTGATCTATTGCTTCCTACCAGTTGGTGTGTGACCATACATTGGGTGCAAAGTTTACTTGTACAGATATGATCCATTGGTTTTCTCCCCACTTTTTTCTTTGTCTCTCATGATCTCTTCCTCTCTCCTTCTCTCCGTTCTGCGCCTCTGCTCCCATTTCATTGCAGATTTTTTTGCAGAGCATTGATAGAAGTGCATCCATCAATAAGCAAAACTTGCTTGTGCCCTTGGGTACAGCCCCGAGACAAACGGCTGATGCATAAACTGTACCAGCCTAGGAGTAGTCCCAGGAGATGCCATGACTCAGAGTCAACCCTTGGAGGCATCATTTTCTCCTGTTTTCTCTCTGATGGGATTAAGCTCTGTTTGTTCCCTGCCTCTTGTGCGTACTCCCTCCTTTGGTTCCCGGGAATAAACTGACATGCAGGGAGAGAAGAGCACTCTGATCTCTCTACATAGACATCCAGGTATGAATTAGCCAGCAGCCGTGATTACATTACCTTTTTATGGGTCACTGGGACTTAGATCATGCCCCATTTCCTTGCCTGTACTGAAGAGGAAGAAAAAATACCAATCCATTGTTTTTTTTTCCCAAGATAGGAACCCAAAGGTATGGGTAAGGCAAATAAGACACAGGACAAGTGCATCTGAGGCTAAACAGGCTACTACTCTGTGCTTGATTCATCACTCATTTATACCAGTATCAACCAGGAATAATTCGAGCAGAGTTACAGTGCTGTAAATACTGAGGTGATGGGCTGAGATTCATGCCTGATACCCATGTGGCTGAAGGAAGCCCTGGTGCTCACAGAGGAGGTGAGAGCTGTTTGTGTAAACTGGAAATCCTGATCTGAAATCAGAAGTCGAGCAGCATGCAAAGACAGGACGTCAGAGGTGAACAGCAGAGATGGGCCAGCTCTGCAAAGTTGGGATTTGGCTCTGTGTCCGAACTTGCTCAAACTCTGGGCTAGTTCAGAGTCTGGGTTTTGTGTATTCTAATCTGTGCCACTTTTAGAGATGGGAATGGCTGTAGAAATTAGGTGTGGAACAAAATTTGGCTTGAGTCTGAAATTGTTCCAGCTTGTGGGGGGTGATGGTGGTGTGTTGGTTCACCATCATGTAAATTAATGGGTGACAAGCAGTCCTTCAGAGTCACGATCCTGACAGACGTGTGGTCTAAGGCTTTTGCTAAGTGCCCAGGGGGAAGCCTGCATGAGGGGCAGAGGGCGGATGGACTAAGTGCACTTTCCGCTGTTGGTGATGGCATTCTCTAACGAGATGGGAGGGGTAAACACTTTCCCTTTCCTCCTCTACAGGAACAAGCTGGGATGCTGAGGAGCTGGATGTCCTATGCCCAGTAGCAAGTGTCCAGCCTCAGGAGACTCACTGCACTGCATGTTTCCAAGGAGGATTCATTGGCTGAGCCACATAATGGGCCACAGCTGGAGCAACATCTCTGTTCGTGGGACTGTCTCCTCCTCAATGCACACACCAAGTCCTCTTCACTTCATATATCAGGCACTGAACTTTTCCATACTGTGCACATCACCTGTGTGCCAACAGGGAATTTGCAGGAAACCATCAGCAGTTCTCTCTCTTTCTCTCCCTCTCCTTCTCCCTCCCTCTCTCTCTACAGGTGTCGCTGAATCCTATATCAAATGTGGCAGAAGCAACTACACTAAAAAGTTCATACGAAGAGCCTGCCCACTCTACAGCTCAATTATGTATTTGTAGACTTCTCTGGTTCCAGGGCAAAAGCAAAGGAGTATTTGCATTATTTTTTTAAAAAAATTATTCATTTATCTGCTTTAATTTCTTCTGCTGCTGTTGTTGTTGCTCATATTATACACAGAGTCTGGCCGTTTGGGTATGTAGATAGATCTCAGAAAGCTTAGTGCTGCTGTCCAACACAGCCTCTGCCTGGCTGAGGGAAAAGGAGATACTTGGGAAGATGCAAGTCTTTCAAAGGACACTTAATCACACGAGTCACTTCAGGTGGGTGAGAGCAGAGCAAATCCATGCTTTTGCTAATGCTCTTCTTTCCAGCGCTGTGTTGTTGGCTGGTTGAAAACCCACTCTCTCCTACAGGAGGCATTGGTGGGGCATAACTTGTGTGACTGCCAGATGTACCTCGGGATAGCTCAGAAGTCATTAGACCTATTCTATCCAACCAGTTTTAGCCTTTTAAAAAGTTTTTATTCTTTTAATATCAAAAAAGTAGACTTCTCTCGTGTCTGAAACCTCAGAGGAAGTAGGCTCAAATCCATTTCTCCACTAGGAGCCCAGTGAAGGGTTTTGCCTGCTTTATTTGCACGTGTGGACATCGTAGACTCGTATGCACTCCTGGCAGCGGACATAGCAGCACCAGTGGAAGATACAGTGGCACTTCTCTTTCCGTTTCTCAGTCCTCGTGTTGTGCCCACGGCCGCAGCACAAAAGGTCGCAACCATCAATCCCATGGGAAGTGACATTACAGATCCTGTCACGGGTCCCAAAGGAACCTGTCTCAGGGTTGGGCTCACAAAAGTTTGGTGAGTTCTCGTAGTAAACCAGGTCCTTCTCAGTTGGAGCCTTGAAGAAGTTGTATTTGGGCCTGAGGGTCTCGACCCAGCCACGGGATTCTCGATGTTTTTCCACTACCATTTCAGAAGCGCTATCATACTTGTCCTTGAGGTAGTCACCGATGACCCTGAAGTCTGGCTGAGACCACCAGCAGGTCTTCACTTCGCAGCTGCCTGAGAGGCCGTGACATTTGCACTTGAGATGCATGAGTTCAATAATAGACTGAAAAAGAGGAGAGGAAAGGCAAAGAAGGAGGAAGACATTAGCCTATAATCAAAACACATATTTCATTCTGCTATTTAGCCAGGATTTCCTAAAGAATTGCAGTGTTTTCACAGATATATTTACACACTGGTGAACAAAAATAAACCTTATCCTCCAGTCAACACCCTGCACAGATGTTGGGCATAAGGCAGACAAAACCTTTGAAACTTTATCGTTTTCAGTGACTGTCTCTGATTCCTACCACAACTTTAAGCATCTAGCAAGTGCTTTCACTAAGGACTGAAGAGATTTCTGTGCGTACTAACTTGTTTTATCAATGTTCATGCATGAATACTGCAGTACTGTCACCCAAGGACACAAGTCAGACACATCTAAGCAGAAAAGTGGAAGACACACAAACCTAATACACAGCTATTCCACTGGAAATTAAAGAAATATGAAACATCCTGGACATCTAGCACAGAATTCCATCTTTTACACGTTTCATGTTTACTCAAGCAAACAAGGTTCTAGCCTTGCTGTGGCTATGTTCAGAAACCTGAAAAGTAATGTATTTTTATTTTTAAGTCAGGTTTATGATTCTTCTAAAACCATTTCAAAGGAAAAAAGTAGGAGCCCAACTTTTGATTTTGAAAGGCTCAGACTCCAACTTAAAACACTGTCCTAGAATAAATGGAAAGGCGATTATTGATCCTACAAGTTTGCTATTTGCTTTTACCTCTTATGAAATTACTCTAAAGGTTTCTAGAGGTGTTGCCCTCTAGTACTCTGAGGTGGGAGACGGCCTTATGCAACTTACTTGATAATCTGCTTTTTCAGACTGATCAGCAAATTTCCGGGTACATGAACAGACTAGTGCCAGCCCGAGTCCAAAAGATTTGCCATGAATCAGCACCTTGGTGTTCACCAGGTGCTTTCCTGTGTTATTTACAGAGTATCACCGGCCACAAAGGAGGTTGTAATTAGCAATCAGAGAGAACCGCAAAATGTTTGGTTCATATAATCATGCCGAACTTAATCAAAGCTTCTGGCATAGTGGTAGGGTTTGAGTTCATATGGGAACTAGTATGAAACATTGCCCATGGCTTATCTTTATCTGGAAACACTTCAGTATGGAGGCCTGGAAGAGCTACCCCATGAGTGCTGGCATGGTGAGAATAGGAACCACTAGTACTTTATAAAACAGGAGAATTTCAGACAACGGTGTGACATCTGCTCTCTAATCTTTGACATCTGCAAAACACCTGAAAATAACTCAGTGTCAAGTAACAAGACTTACGGTAAAAAGACCTCTGCAGGCCTGTAATCAAAGGGATTTGTTTGTTCAAAGCTCACTTTTTCCAAGGAATCTCACTTTAAGGCAGATCACTCCTTTCCACTCTACCCACCTTCTCCACAGTCCTATTAGTATCATTATTTATCCCAGCAACTGCCACGAGCGATGCACGATACCTTAGGGTACCTGGGATAATTTGGGCCAGTGATGGAGGAAGCCACATTATTGCTTGTAGCCATCTATATTGAAGACAATTTTTGTTCCTGGTGGTGTTTCATTTTGAAGGTGCGTCCCCTATTTCAGACCAGCTCTCCTGTGGTATGAGGTGGGATAACTCCACTGGGGAGTGATGGTGTCCACGGGAGGAGTTGACACCAAAGTCCTAGCCTACCTGAGGACAGTTGTTTCCTAGCACAGCACAACTGTGGTGTGCTATAGCTCACTGCACAGTCCTATGTCCTCCTAGACATGTGTAAGGCCTTCTGATGAGGGAACAAGACCATATTAACCTCTTCTGATTACAGTGGGGTATCTTTATTCCACTGAGGGATAAGCTAGCTCGTTTACTACATGAGAAAAAAAGCAGTTATCTCAGAGAAGCTGCAACATTAGCAAGAGCTTTGTGGTTCTGTTTCTCAGATTATTTTCCATAGATTACATTCTTCTGGTGTTTATAGGCTATTCTTGAGATGAAAAGGAGAATGTCATCTTCATAAGATTGTTCTACCTTGCAGAAAAGAGCTACTGTGTACGAGGCAGTCACTGTGATGAGGGCAAGATTCTGTGCTTTCTGTTCCCTTATACATTTTGCTCCATGGCTGTTTGAAGTGAAAACACATTAGCTGGCTCTGAGGCATGGTCCAAGTTTAATCAGGAGCCACATTCCCTCTTATTTTCTTTAAATATTCCTTGGGAAATAGAACAGTGTTGAGAAGAGGGGTGGTGGGAAATGCTCTCCTGTCCTTCCTCATCCTCAAGCCTACAGAGCAGAGTGATGATCTCAGAGGAATGGACCGTTGCACTCAAACTAGGACTCAGTTGCCTAAATACATGTGTCTAATGCCATTTGTGAACTCAAAGGGTGTCTAAGGCATCAGTCCCAAGGATGGCAGAGGACCTGCAGGAGACACACAGTCTTTCCCAGTAGCAGCCCAAGGACAGGCTGGCTACATCAGAATATTTCAGTTTATACTAAAATGCATTTTCTTAAGCAGCTGAATCCCACCCCCACAAACCATGGTCCATCTCTCTTAACTTCAAATGTCTACAGTACAGACATCTCTGGCTGTACATCTCACCTTTCTACAGTCAATGGAGGAGAACAGGCACAGTCAGGGCATCATTAACTGAGCTATTTCAAACGTCTCCTTCAAGCTGGGATGAAATCCCATCCCAGAACTCTCTGCTCGACCCATTCTCTATAAAAGGTGTCTGGACAACTGACTCCAAGATGGACATTTACATCTGGGTGGGTGAATTTACTTACAGCTATCATAGATCAGGTACATTGATCACCTCCCTGACAAGAACTATCACAGGGCAGGTATCATTGTTTTATCATGTAAAACTGCCCAGATTTATGTTTGGTTATTCCCCTCAGTTCCTTCCCACTGTTCATTATGGAAGGTAAGAAAAGATTAAAGGGAGACTGAGACAGGTGAAACTAAATGTCCTTACGGTCCTTCCAGCTTCGTTGTTGTGCCTGTTCATGGCTGACCGAGCGTCTGGTCTGTTCTCTCGGGCATCCGCAAACTCCCGAGACACCATGCTCCCAAACTCCACATCCTCGCTGCAGCCCCCCCATTTCCAGCCTTCCCCAGGAGAGCCTTTGTGGCGGGTGTCACAGCCGCAGATGGTGGCCGAGCCCTCGGCGCAGGATCTGGTCACCGCAAAAGCCACTCCAGCAGAGGCAATGGCATGGACAAAGGCTGATTCTCTGGTAGCTGTGAAAGAGAGAAATCAATGAATAGTGGCCAGTGAAGGGACCACACATGGATTTGATCAGCCTTGTGAACACCTTCTCTCAAGGGCATGGCAGAAGGCCAGGAAACTCTCCTCTTTCCTGTGGTCCAGCTTGGACCTACTCCAAAGACATTTTCTTATACTATGAAATAAGCTCGCGTGTAGACAGGACCAGGCTTGATTCAAAGCCACTGAGGTCATCCAAGAAGTTTTGACTAAGGTCATCCTAAGGTCTTAGGACAGGATCATGGCAAAGCAAAAAGCAGTGCAAACCTGAGTTTCAGGGGACATATAGAATATACTGTATGGTACTTTTCAGGCAATGCACCACATAGCCATACCCCGAGCTGCAGTCTTGGCTTCAGATGCACAGAATTTGGGCTATGCTCCCATAATAGGGAAAATGCAGGTCTACATTTAATGACAACCTCTACCCTTAGTGGTGGGACTAGCACCAGGTAAAGCACCTCCCTGATGGCCGGAAGGTAGGAAAATGCCAGGATGGCCAGATACTCCCCAGTCCTCACTATGTAAACTAAACATTGTCCCCACCCTCCACCCTGAGGCCACCTTTTTCCTAGGCTGTCTAGCTCACTTAGAGACAGTGTTCAATATAATATGGCATCTTGCATCTATTAAAAGTTTTGCTCACTTTCCTAACTAAAGCCCCTGCCAAGGGGACTGGAAATGAGCTTTCTTTTTCTGCCCATTGTCTTAAGATGGTGGGTGGGGTGAGCCAAAAGATGTCATGGTTGGGAACTGAGGAGCCTTAGTCTCTGTGGAGACCTTCCTTCACAGCCTTTCATCCCAGCTGGAGCTCGGTGGGGAAGGGCAGCTCAGCATTATCCTGGCTTTCCAGGATATCAGTGCTTTTTCTACAGTGTGCCAAAATGAAAAACAAACATTTCAAACTGCTTTGCAAATTGAGAATATACCAAATTATCAGTTTTTATTCCTCCCTCCTGGTTTCGGTCTCATTATGTTTCTTCACTCACTAGAAATGACCCTGGAGTTCTACACCACACCTCAGAAAACATCACTGCAATGCTTTTTGGCTTCAGAAAAATTGTATTTTTATAATGAACAGGGCTATTCTCAAACCCCTGAGGCAATTCTAAGACGACCCAGTGATTCTGATAACTGGCCTGCCCTAATCTCCTATACCACTCCCCACATGAGCTCACCTTATGCCTATAGACCAGTTAGCCAAGAAAGCATGTTGTCTCTGACATCTTTCAAATGATTAGGCTAGGACTGTGTTGAAATATGAGTGGACCCATAAAGGTGGAAGGCCAGGTTTTCAGTTGATGCAGCTTCACCAGCTTCTCCTGAGCTTTGCATCAGCTGACAAGTTGCCTACTCAAAACCACTCAAACATTTTCTGCACCATATTTTGCTGATCTGAGCTTTCCCTGGGCATTTTGGCTTAATCCTTACCTTCTAGATGCTTCCAGGCTTTACTAATGTGAAGAGAGTTTAATATGCCAAGCGAAAAAGCCAACATGTTCTTGGGGAGAAATCAAAGCTGCATGCTTGCAGAGCAGTCCCAGCTGGATTGAAGGCTTAAGCAAGAACTTGTGCAGCACCACTTCACTTTGGGAAGACAACCAAATACAACAATATGCAAATCAAATAATGTGCATGAACTTACAAGCCAAAGTTATGAGCAATGGCCTGGAACATGTTGTCAATGCGCATCGTGAGGTTAGTAAGTCACTGGGGGCTAGAACCAAAAAGGAAAATGCAGGAACCCTCAGTTCCACAATGTGATTTTGAAAAACCCTTGTTCAGCATCAGCCCAGCCTGGAGGATCCCAACTTCCTGAAAATGGTGACCATGTAGTTTCTGAGCTGTGTGAAAGCTCATCTTCTGAGCCTAAACAGATGAGTTCAGTTCTAACAGGACTGGGAACTTGGCATCTTACACTTGCCTAATCCCAGGTGCGATCCAGAAACCAAACCTAGTTGAGAAGTTTTGTGTGATGTCTCCAAGGACACAGATGACAGGACCTCACAGAAGCAAGTCAGATAAGCTGGTGCATGAATGCCATTACCCTCTGGAAGGGAGGTAGAAATTATAGTGCCTGACTAGAGAATAGCTGAGACATCTTCCACTTGCCCCCATTGTAGCCTAATTTGATACACTGCTATGCCATGGACAGGAGAGGAAGATGATAATTCTTCTTCTTCTTCTTTTCTTCTTCTTCCCCGTTCTGTCTGACAGCTGTAATGGGCACATTGCTTGGGTATGTTAGCTCTCATCTCTTGGGAACCACCCCTTCCTCCGCTCAGGAGGAGAGACCTGATCCAGGCCTTTGGCTATTGAGGCAGGTGTTGTAGGTGCTGAATTTATGTTTGCAAATGCCATAGAGAGCCCCTGTGCCTTGTTGTGCTGGGGCTGAAAAGAAAACATCTACAGCCATGGTGTTTGTGCAGAAAACCTCTCGCACGGGTATGAGAGGACTGACCTTGGCTTAGAAGATCACAGGTCATGAATCCCATCTGGGCTTCAGAAGGAGTCCTTAGCTCAGAACAGAGGTGTTTCTCTGTGCGTACAGGTGCAGAGCTCACCAAACCCCAGGGAGCTTCAGGCAACGCAGCCAGAGGGTCTGCAGAATTTTTTGCATTTGTCAGGACCTGGTCGCAGCTGAACAAGGAGTTACAGTAGCTCTGGTTGTAGATCCCCAATCCTAAATCCCAGGTCCGTTACCTAAACTCTCCACTGTTGCTAGCCCTTACTGAAAGCCTACAGCTCCAGGAGGGTATTGATAGGATTTGCCTTAAGAAGCACTGATTATACCCAGCTCTCCTCTTTCCAGAAAGAGCCCAATGCCTTTTACAGCCTGTATACGCTGTAATCACTCCCCTGCTTTTGAAATGCAGCCACCCCTGGGGTGGAGTGCAGCCACCACTTAACAGCACACAACAGGAAGCAAATAGCATTGTATCTGATCATAACTACCTGGGGAATGTAGGCAGTCAGAGCAAAGAACCTGAGATCTGGCCCCAGGGCACTGAGGTTAGGAGTTTGTCTCTTGAGAAAGTTGCAGCCGATCTCTTAATGACTCCACGAAATTAGGGCACTGGGTTTACATCTCCTACCCCTAACTTAAGGCACCGAGTTCAATATTGACGCAGATGGAAGAGCGCCATCGCGTGAATCACGTCCTGCCACCTCCTAAGTTATAGGACTGTCCTCCAATTACTAAGCAGACCTGACCCTGCTGAGCTCTGAAGAGCTCCCCAAGTTGTAGCCGAAGGCGGTGTGGCTGCAGGAATGGAGAAGGAGTGTATAGAGATACAGATAAGCAGAAGGAAAGCATGCACTTGTAATGGAAATGAGGGGTTATTAAGGTGCCATATAAAAATGCAAGAGACTTAGCAAAGATAACAGGAAAGTGCAGTATATTTGTCAGGTCGCCTCATTCCTCTCTGGGTGGTTCTGGTAGCAAGGAGACAAGCAGCTCGTTGTGACTTGAAGAGAGCTTTTGGAAAGTCATCTGGTAAGAGAAGGTTAATAGGGACTAATACCTCATGGGGATGTTGACTTAAGAGCATTTTAACCACTTTGTTTTCAGTGCAGCACAAGGTCACCAAAGCTCTGGCTTCAGCTTGTTTAATTCCTGCCTGCTCCCAAGTTTCCCTGCAGGGCTTAGAGATTTGGATGGCTGGTGCTTCAAGGTACCCTGTTCTGGACCCTTTTGGGGGGGGCTGGCCATCAGTGGAAAAGGTGCTGAGACTTACAGAGGGCCTTTAGGGATGCTTTGTATCTTCCCCCTAATGCAGAGGTCCCCAAGTCATTGGTCACTTCTGGAAATTGTTTCCTAAGGAGACTGTTCCATGAAGCTGAGAGCCTGAATGTCCTGTGCAGAACACCTCTGACCACCCTGTCCCAGCAGCAGAAACATCTTGGGATGCAAAAACACATGGCTGAGCCATAACAGTATGAAAATTCACAGGCCTGATCACGAGGTGATGCACGATTTGATTTCCTGCTTTCACAGGGCTTTTTCATGCGACTTTGGGCAAATCTGTTAGTCAGTCTGTGCTTCCTCTTCCTTATGCATACAACTGAAGACAATCCTGCTTATCTCCTCAGGAACCTGTGGTGGTAAATTCAGTGATATCTTCAGAATTGTGGGCAGTAGGTGTTGGAACTGAACAGAGGGTCGTCACGTTGTGGGATGAGGAAGGCAAATGAATAACTGCATAAATATATGAAATCTCTCGTGTTCTTCTGTCCAGACAGTGACTTATTTTCCCTGAATCTTTTTCTGGATGACTAAATTATTAACTCCAGGTCAGGTAGATATCCCTGATAGATATGTGGGAGGAAGGACTACAGTGATGTAGAAGGATGAACATAATGGTTTATTTTGGTCTGAAAAAGCTACAGTCCCCTTTTACCACCTTTGTACCATAGTACCGAGCCCTGTTGTCCCCACTCTTGACAGCCTAAATTTTTCCTCCCTCCCTGCACAGTGGCCTGGTGAACAGCAGGTTCCTGGGACAGGGAAATGCAGCTGACCTTCAGATGTGTTGAGAGATGAAGTTGCAAGTCCTGTGTCCTGGACCACAGCTTGAAGAACTAGGGGGTATTTTAGAAAGTGGTCACTGCTGTTTCCACTGACTGTTAATGTTCTTTAAAAGAAAGCAGTGAGATTTGTGCAGCCTGAGGGAGGGAGGAAGGAAGGGAAGAAGGGAGGAAGGAAGGCAGAAAGGAAGGCAGGAAGGAAGGCAGGAGGGGAGGCAGGAAGGCAGGCAGGCAGGCAGGCAGGCAGGCAGGCAGGCAGGCAGGCAGGCAGGCAGGCAGGAAGGCAGGCAGGAAGGCAGGAAGGCAGAAAGGCAGGAAGGCAGGAAGGAAGGCAGGAAGGAAGGCAGGAAGGCAGGAAGGCAGGAAGGCAGGAAGGAAGGCAGGAAGGCAGGAAGGCAGGAAGGAAGGCAGGAAGGAAGGCAGGAAGGAAGGAAGGCAGGAAGGAAGG